TGCGCCTCAGTCATCTTTGTCCTGTTGGCGCCGCCGCCTATCTTTTCTCCCGACTGAAGCTGTCGTCTTAAAATTGCAGTCCTGTTCTGCTCAGAAATAAGCTCCTCTGAGCCGTATGTTCAGGATCGGTGAAACTTAAACACATTTGTATAAGTCAAGTGCAGGGGCTGTACATGCACATTGTCCTAAGTCGTCATTTAACTACAATGGTTGGATTCATGTCTAACGGTGAACCATAATATAGTTTATGGTTTAGATTAGTGTGCTGTGTAAACCCATCCAGTTGCGATTATTTCAGGAAAACAAGGCTTAGTGTATTGTAGTAATCCAGCCAATGACCAATTCTACAGAACGGATGTTTGGTGAGCAGTCATTCTGTCTGGTGTCAGAATTTGATTAGAAGCCACCATAAGCCAGGGATAAGGAGAATTGCACAAAAGCAAAAAAAAAAAAAAAGCCCCCAAAGCACCCCATCTTCAAGATTTCCCTGCCAAAATTTAGCGGTTTTCTCTCTCTACTTTTAAGAAAGTACTTCTAAAAATTACAAGTTAAATAACTTAGCATCCATTAATTTAAGACAACCATTTTACTTTTTAACCTCAAAACAAAAATTCCAAAATCAGTTTTCTGTCTCCATTAACCTTACCGTAACATCTGCTCTACTACTTTATTAAGAGGAAGTAGTCTACCACTTTACTAGACATATACAGAAGTAGGTAGAGATTAGGGCTCACACTATACAAGCTGCAGATTTTTTATTATTTTAATACAATTACTTCTAAATATCTTGGCTCTCTTGTGAAGATGGTGATGCAGTAACAGTTCATGCATGGAGCTCCATATCTAGAAACTGTATTTTGTTTCCCCTCTAGATGAACGCTAACCACATTTCTCCCCTCAAGTGCTTTTGAAGGTTAATTTTACTGACTAGTTTGGGGATAAGAAAAGCAACTAAGGACAAGCCTACAGAACTTCAAGCCACAACAATCCTTAAAGGGCTTTAACAAATGGAGGGTTTTACCAGCATATTCATTAGTAAGTATATTGGACTCCTCTGTAGTCTCAAATGTGTATGCTCCTTTGATTGAGGCATTACCTTCTAAGAATAATGTGGAATTTGTATCTAATGATAACAATAATGAAGGAGGAGACTTACGACAGATTCAACTCAGCAAGATCTATCAAAAATGGTCTTGGAGGGTGGTACAATTTCCATTTATCAACTAGCAGCTTATAGTAATACTTGTCTTCCCTCATTGTCTTCCTCAATAGAACTTGTTGCCAAGGGATGCCTTTTAATCTCAGAGACTACATCTTTGTTATTTACCAAAATTAACCCCATGCAGGAAGCAGTTGAAGGGCTGAAGATTAGAATAGAAGCTCTCCTATTACTATATCAAAAAAGAAAAAATGCTGTGGCCAATCCTGCTGCTATTTTCCCAACCTCTTCTGAAAAATGTTTTAACATACTTAGCACAAATGGGCTGGATGAACTTAAGGCCAATTGCATGGAGCTGAGCATTTATACCTGCAACCCACTACTAAAATAACTTGCTTTCTGTTGTTCAGGCAGGTGGTTCTAACTATCTCTATGAATAAACATAACCTAGAAACTTGGGAGGATAAAAGAGAGTATATTTTCCCTGGCTCAGTTGTTTAAAAGTCAACCCACCAAACTGACTTGCTGTATGTGAAGCTACTCTATGGGCCACATCACAAGAGAAAATTATTATTTAATTATTGCAATCAGTTTTGCCAGGAATGTTTCTGAGGATGGGAACATTCCTTACTAACTTTAAAATTTATGCACAGTAAATTTGGAGAATTGTAAAAAACTAGAAATAAGGCAGTCTCAAGAGAGAGAGAAAATCTTATATCAGATTCTTCAGATGTCGCATTAATGTCACTGCAAAGACGTGACTCTATAAATACCTTTAAGCAATGTATGATTACTAAAGCCCCTGTGATGACATCTAGTGGTATTGTCCAGTCTTCATATGAGTCTGAACCAAGTCATAAACTTCTATCTAAGCAGAGGGAAAGCATTTTATTAGTACTCAAAAAACTTGCCTCTTTGGCCTCCCTCTTGACCAGCTAGTGTCCTTAGAATATAAACAAGCCTTCACATTATTAAGACCAGATTACTTGATATTGAACAACAGAATGAATTTAGTTTAATTTCACATCATATCAAGGAACATTTAGAAAACCCCAGATAGAAACTATGTACATATTTCATCACACCTATAACCTCTGCTCAGCAACAAGCCTTTTTTAGAACCAGACATGTTTTACCTACAGTAGTTCTTAGTGGCAGATTAGCCAAAATTCCTTTCTCCAAAAGAACTTGTCCCTACAATTCAGTTTTGATAGAAACCACCCAACATATTGTCTTTTGAAGTTAATAGGCCAGTAATTGGGAGTGTCTGTGGAAACCTGATATATATTTGCCATTTTAATTTAACTGATTAGTTTTGTTAACTTTAATAAAAAATACTGAGCCATTTGATCATTTTAATTTTTTTGGATGCTGCTGCCTCCATACCTGTGGCCTGGATCATTTCTCTTTCCCCGCTTTAACAAGGTTGCTTCTATTTCAATTTATGTTCAGTGAATTGTATTTTAAGAACACACTGGCCATCTCATTAACAATTATGCTGTCAATAATACAATAACTGCAGCTTCAGAAGTACACTATACAAAAACGTTACAAAGTTGGATAGATACTGCATTTGAAACTGTCAGGCTCTATTAACACCTCACTTATATACTATTTCATTCATTTTATCTCTATACAGTTTGCACCCATACAAATCTTTCAGGCAGGGGTGGAACAAGGCCAACATTGTAACATTTTTTGAAAGGCAGAAGGATGTAATGGGCAGGACAGTGAAGCAAAATAGGTGGAACAATGTAACTCATATAGGTGAAGCCAGAATGTTTTATTTTTTACTGAGTTTGGAGGGAAATTAGATTAAACATTAAAAATGGAGAAAACCCTAAGTCTAATTTAGGGTCTACATTATATTTTCCCTATTTCCTATGCCGCTTGTTTTAGTTATGGAGGTTGGAGGTGTGATGAAGGACTTGGATGAGGAGGTTCAAGATCATGGGGAGAAGCATCTCCTCAGCCCACAGACTGAGCATGTGAAAGCAAAGGGGATGAGACTGATACCACCCTAAGGAATTCGTAGTTTAGTTGCAGACTTTGGGAGTTAGAATTAGTCTGGTGAGATTCTGTCTAGCAGGTGCAAGCTAATAAAGAACAGAGCAATTCCAGAACTGTCTCATGGAGTTTCTTGGGCTGAACCTGACAGGAGGGGCTCCAAAGGGGTTAAGAAATGCCTGGGCCCTGCTCCCTCAGATTGCCCATTCTGCACTGGCAGTTCACCAAATTGGGTGAACAGAGATCTCGGCTCAAGGCTCTGATAAGTTTTTCTTTGACTGCAGCTGCTATATAATACTGTGAAAGGATACACCCGCTTTAAAGAGGTGCAAATATGCGCTATGTTCATGTATTCCAAACCACCGATTGTAAGTGCTCGTAAGCTTACTCTGATACTTCTTTTACTTGTGCAGTTAGGAGCAGGTTTCCACCCTCTAACCCAATTTTTAAAATTTCATACAGCAGCCATTTTGACAGTATCACTGACGAAGGAGGCATGAGAACCCCCCATCTGCATTCCAAAGCCATTTGGATCCATATGGCACCTGGGATGGACCATTTAATTGGTGCGATGCCCTTACAGACATCTATACTATACCATTTAAGGCTGAGTACAGATTAACTATAACAAGTGCATCAAATAGAACACAAGATCTACAATATCCATTACTGCATGTCTAGAGCCAGATATTAGGATATTAATTAGGACAGATCTAAGTAATTCGAACAGAGGTCATAACCCCACTTGCATCTAAGCATACAATAAGCATGTCCTGGTTGGTCCCCATGATATCAGCTTCATCTCATCCCCAACCTAGGATTTAATAGAAACTTCACACAAAACAAAATTTCAGTATTTTTCACTTTTATTAAACAAATAGCATCTAGTTTTGATTTCCCAGCCAAGCTTTGCAAACGTAATTTACAACCAGAACACTGCATTTAATCCTTTTTCTGTTGACCGTTTTCAGTTAAGGGAAGCTCCTTGACATTCTAAATTGCAGAGTGATCAATTTCTAACTGGGTATGTATGCACCCAATAATGTTGGCTTGCTCCATCCATCCATCCATCCATCCATCCATCCATCCATCCATCCATCCATCCATCCTATACTCTACCTACTTGCTAATTTAGAGTTAAGGAAGAATATGCAGATGTTAATGGTGATTGTCCCTCTGTGAGTCAGGGTGGCAGCAGCTGTTTCTTAGGTTGGTAAAACTGTTGATCATCATTTTGACACTCTATTAGGGCCATATGCATTGGGGTAGGCAATTCTTGTTGTGTATCCATCTCTTTCATTTCAGCACATCTCCAGATTATGCCCTTCACCATTTTGTGAACTTCAGGCCACTTTCCAACAAGGTTTTGGCAGCATAACCACTGCCAAAATCCAACTCAGGTTTGCCAGCCCTTTATTAAAACCATAGCTCTTCAACAGTAAGTCTTAGTCTTAGTTACTAGCTTTTTATTTATTATTAGATTCTGCCTTTTTTGTACAACCCAAAGCAGTGTACATACTCTTGCCTCCTGTTTTCCCCACAACCACTACTCTGTGAAGTGAGCTGGGCTAAGAGAAAGTGATTGGCCCAAAGTCACCAAACCAG